TTTATCAAGAGGGCAAAAATGTCTTTTCAAATTAGAAAAAAAAATTAGATTTGTGGTAGATTTTATAAGATTTTAGGAGTTGTGGTAGATTTTACAATAATTTTGAAATTAATGGTAGATTTTGTAATAATCTCATATACATAAGGAAATGAATCGGAAGATAGTTTTCCTTTTTCATCTTTGACCAGAAACTAGTATTTATGTATATTTGTTTATATATATAATAATCATTCCACGGAAAGAAAAAAATCATCATAAAAATGGTTATCACCAAGAAAATATTAGTCACATATGTTCTCACTCTCCTCTTTATCATATCTTATGTTGATTGTTATGCAACCTGTGCTAACATTCCTGGTATTAGCTTATTATACCTTCCGTTTTTCAATTATGGGCATATTTATTTATTTTAAAAAAAAAATTATGGGCATATTTTTTTATCTTTTTGTAATAACACTTATTGGCTTAAAACTTATTATTCTTAATTAGGTTTTGAAATAAAGCAGGTAGATTGTAAATGCTTCAAATACAATCCGTGTGAACATGGAAAAGATAGAGGCTGCATTGTGTTTTGTCGAAGACGTAAGTTTACTAGAGGGCATTGTGTACAATCTGTCGGATGTTTTTGTTGTCCTTGATAAACATGCACCCAATATGAAATACTACGAATGAAATATTTGTATCTGCTTGAAAAATAATATTACCTATTTTCATTCAGTTTTGAATATCTATACAAAGGTTGAAAAAAAATTCTTGGCAATTTGAACAAAGTTCAAAAATCAAATTGAAGTATCAATTTTGTTTTAATGAAAAATCACAATGTTTTCACCGATCGTGATGGACTATGGCGCAATAATATGGCAATACTAGATTTTATTAACAATTAGATAAACAAAATTAGAGAAGATTGATTGAGTGTTTTTAAAGAACAAAATAAATTGTATAGAACTCATACTAAATCAACCACTTTATGTCTATGTAGTAGAACTAAGATTTGAACTGATTAACGTCTTCCAAATCCTCACCACCATCAAAATCTACATATAATTCTTTAGACAAACCCCATGATTGAATCAAAATGTCAAGTTTAGGGTTTTTGAGACCGGCTTGAACCCGACCGAACTAAGTCCAAAAAACCCTCTCTAGCACCAATCGGCTTAAAGTCACTTTTCCGTCAAGGCCAAACGATCGTTAAAAAAAGAGCCTTAACCGTACGATTAAAATCAAATACTAACACGAATATAAAACTAAACCAAGTGTAACACAATTTATTCTTTTAAAGTCATATACATATAGTCGTTCACCCTCAACAACGTGAATGTTGCCCCCCTTTCCAATTCAACTGCAGATTTCATTAAGTTCAAAGAAATTCATAATCTACAAGATTTCTCTCTTTCTGATACATTCTCGGGTTCAAGTTATCAAGATGAGAAGCACCTACAAAAAATATATACAAAGAACAAACTTAGAATAAAGAAGTACATATCTAAAATATTCGAAGTACGTACCACTCTTAATGAAACGTCTTTTTACTGTTCTGTGTCCGGACAACATCTTTATA